TTGTTCATGTTTGTTTTGTGTTTGTTGTAAAAATAAAAAAAAACATTATAAAAAAAAAAAAGATTTATACTTATGCATAATAGGGGTATAGCATGGTGATGCACACGTATTCATTAACTGAGTTAGTTAGTGGTGTGGTGAAAATAACCAAAGATTGACTGCCTGGGAACAGATTGCTGTCACTTGTAGACTTAGTGAGATAGGACTGTTTTGGTTTGGTTTGGGTTTTTTGGAGGGGGGAGCTTGACAGGGGGAAGCTAAAAGTCTGGATCTACCTAGATATGAATGGCTTTCATTCATAGGATTCCTATTCAGTTCTGTGCGGTGAAGTAAAACTTCCTGCGATTAGCAAGAATTGGTGGAGGGGGGATGCTAATTAGGAAAATTATGGCCTCCCCTTGCATTTTAAAGCTTCTTCTAGGGGAAACTCCCAGAGAAACATTGCATAGGTTGTTTGGAAACTAGACCTAAACTAGTCCTGCCCACCAAAAGTGAGGAGCTCTCTGTATGGATTCTGTTCAGCGGGTCTCCTTTCTTTATTGGTGCTTTGATTGATTTAAAAGCAATTCTGCCCCACCTCCCTGATACCACATTGGGTGCTCAGAGTGGCTCCAGTTGCCTTTGCATCTTTTTGTATCATTTATTAATCAACCAGATGGAGAAAACAAAAACAATAAACCAAAGGAATGGCAGATTGTAACAAGCCAAAGGAGCGAAATAGGCTACTGCTTGTATAGTCTGGCTGGCCTCAACTTGTTCTTCCATCCTGTTTTTCCTGGCAATTTCCTCGTGGGGAGACCTGCTCGTATATGAAGAGTTGCTGTCCAGTTTCCATGGGGCATCCTTGAAAAGCAGTATGTTTAGGAATAGTCTTCTTGGTGGCTGTTCTGTGCATTCTACCTTTAAAGGTGACCTGGCGCAAAGAGGGTTAGATGTGGCTGTTCTGACTACATATCCATTTCTTCTAGGGGCTGAGCTTCCATTTGGCTGCTGTGCTGTTGTCACTCGGCTTCATCACTTACATTGAACATGGTGAGTAATTCACAGCTGCTTCTCTCCTGCTGAGATGTTCCCCTGCCCTGCCCTGCCCTGCCCTGCCCTGCCCATATTCTGATTTCTGTGCCAAAGCAAGTCAAATCAAATACTATTTTATATCTTTAATTACTGCTGCTAAGAAAGAAAAATTCTTCATTCTTAAAAAAGAATTAAGATAGCATCCAATGAAACATATTCCTTAAAAAGATGGGGAAAAGCATTCTTCTAATATTCATACTAGCAAGGCTTGGGTCAATAGGTGAGTTTTCAACCAGCACCTAAAAGATGTGATGATAATGCCCCACTCCTCCCCTTCCCCACAATTTCAGTGGGAAGAGCATTCCAGAGTGTGGGCACCACCACCACAAAAACTTGTCTGTGGGTAGTTACCAGATTTAATGTAGCACCTTTTGGTGTCTGTAGCAGGACCTCCCTTTGATTATTATTAGATTTTTATCCCACCCTTCTCTCTCTCTCTCTCTCTCTCTCTCACACACACACACACACACACACACACATATCTGTATCTTTATCATCTAATACTCCGTCCTCCTCCTATTTTCCCCACAACGACAACACTGAGTTGGGATGGGCTGAGAGAGAGGGAATGGCCCAAAGTCACCCAGCCGGCTTTCATGCCTAAGGGAGGCCTAGACTCACCATCTCCTTCTTTCTAGACCAGCACCTTCACCACTACACCAAACTGGCTCATTGACCAACCGGGTCTATACCTAACTATCCTGAAATGACATGAATGACAAATGTCACTTTGCAGTTCTGTGTACAATCTGTGGCAAACCTTGGGTTTCTGCATTTTTCCCTCCTCCATTTGGGAGGGAAAGGATATTCACTGCTCCTGTCGCAGCAAGTAACAAATTGGAACGCTGCATTGAATCCTAATGTAGGAAAGCTGTTTGGTACAAACATTCCTTAGTTAATCAAACCAAGATATAAGAGCCAAATCTTGGACAGCTCTGAGCACAACTTTGCTTGCCTTATACATGCTGGTTTCCATCTAGTTCTCAGAAAGAGGTTGTCTATCATCTTCGATGCCTGCATACTCTCCAAGAAGTGCCAGCCAGGATGTTCACATCGCCACAGCACGGTAAGTTTGTGCTTAAACCCCAAGGGGGCAAAGTCCCCTTTTTTTACCTCCAGAGCAATGTTCTAGCACCCTGTTTCTCAACCTTGGCAACTTGAAGATGGGTGGACTTCAGCTCCCAGAATTCCCCAGCCAGCCATGGGGGTTGAAGTCCACCCATCTTAAAGTTGCCAAGGTTGAGAAACATTGTTCTAGGATGAGGTGGGAATCTTTGGGTTGTAGGGCTGCCTATGGCCCTTGGCTTCATTTTACAACTCGTCTGCAAGAGATCCATTCAGACTTCGATTGCTCGTTGTCTCTCCTTCCAATCCAGCAGAGAGGAAAAGCAGTGTAAGAGTAAATATTCCCACCCCTGTTCAACTCTGGCCCCGCCCACTCCCTGCTTCAGCCCTGTGCCCCGCAGCCTTCAACCGATTGTGCCAAGGTTTGCCTTCTGCCATCCTTTGGGTCTAGCAACAATACTCGGCCTTCCTGTTCCCAAAATCCCTTTTAACTCTCAGGTCTGGAGACCATGGAAGCCTGATGCAACAAGACGACTTGTGGCTTCTTACAGTGAAGCCTCCCAACTAGGCTGTTTGTGTGTATGTGTGTGTGTGGGGGGGCAGAATCCTGCTTGTGTGGACTGAACTTCTGATGCTTCTTCTGCTGCTACAGAATCTCGGGGTTCGTCTCCTCAACCTGCTTTTTGGGGCTCTTGCCATCTTCCACTTGGCCTACCTAGGCTCATTGTTTGACATGGATGCAGATGACTCTGTGGAAGAACAGGTGAGGTATCCAGGATGGGGGTGAATGGCAGAATAGCAGTTTTATGTGATACCTGTGCTGGCCATATTTTTAGGAGCGGTCCTAAAAAAAAAAAAAGTACAGGTAGTCTTTGTTTAACGACTGCCTCATGGAGTAATACAGTGATGAAAAAGTAATTTTGCGGCCTATCCTCACATTTATGACCTTTGCAGGTCTGTAAAGCAAAGGAAAGCTGAAGTAAGATCATAAGAACAGTCCTGGTTTCACTTAGCGGCTGCTTTGCTTAACGAGCAAGTTGCTGGTCCCAATTGTGGTCGCTAAACAAGGACTACCTGTATTACCTGAGAAACCCCATACTCCTTTATTTTAATCTAACTGTCCCTGATGTAATACTGTTTGGATGTGGTATATAACAGCTAATCTCATCTCCTATCTGCATGAGGATGACAGCAGATTTAGGGACTGTCCACCAGGGCTTAATGAAACAGGTCTTTCCCTGCAAATTCAGAGGAAAACAGAATCAACTCTGATCTGCCTTTCTCATGACGTCTGAAGCCAGATCAAAGCTAAGGCAATACGTCCTTGCCATGCTCTGGTAGAACAGACAATGACAGTATTGAATTATGGTGGGCATCATCACCATGATCCAGACCACAGACAGGTACAGGTAGTCCTCATTTACCAACGGTAATTGGAACCAGGAACTCCATTGCTAAGCGACACAGCTGTAAGGTGCAATGTCACATGACCACACTGACTCACATTGGCAGTTCCAGTAGTCCCAGTTGCTGTTAGGCGAATCCCACATGGTCACACCATCCTGCAGTCATGGGATTGCCATTTGCAACCTCCTGCTGGCTTCCCCATTGACTGCTTGTTGGAAGCCTGCAGTGAAGGTTCCAAATGGCGAACCTTTGACTGCGGGATGCTGCAACATTGTAATTGCAAGCTGGGCGCCAAGCACCCAAATCACAATCATATGACTGTGGGGATGCTGTAATGGCCACAACTATGAGGACCCGTCATTAAGTCCCCCTCATTCAGTGCCGTTGTAACTTCAAATGGTCGCTGAATGAGTGGTTGTTCAATGAGGACTACCTGTAATTAAAAAAGTGGGGGGGAGGAAGTGGAGTGCTTTTGTGAAGCTTTCTGTTGCCACCCAGGCCACCTGTCTGAGTTAAAACTTTTCATTTTAGAGCATTGTTTATGCTCCACACTGGAGCACAAATTACAGCCACTTGGGCTGAGTGTTGCTCCCTTTCTGTATGGTTCACATATAAAGCAAGCAAGCAAACTAGATAGCTTGCTTCCCCCAATGTCCCATCTATATGAACAATTGTGTATTTCATTCCCAGTGCTTAATGCTTAGTTTCCTTTTACATGCTTAGACTATTCCCTCCTGACACTTTCTCCTTTTACTTTCCAACTGCTCACTCTTTAGCCAAGAACAGTGTTTGTTATTCAGATGTAAATAAGTTATGTAAAATTAAGTCAATGTTCTGCAGCCCCCACCCCCAAGGCCAACTCTCTTTCATGGAAGGCTAGAATAAGGTAATGCCCTTGTTTTGCCTAATTTTGCTTGTGGCAGCCAGCGATGGGGAAACAAGCATCTACCAAGGATGCTGCTGTTAATGAGATAATCAGATCCTTGTTTATTACTTGTTTAAGATCTCACTGGGCATTGCTGGTACCTGTTGAAGTTTATCTTCATTGTCCTGAGGGATAGAAACTAAAGAACAGTAATAGCGATAGCAGTGGCAGAAAAAGGAAATCCCACAGCACAATCATGGAAATAGAGAAAAAATCCCTTGAGAAAGGCTCAGCCTTTCTGAACGTCAGTGGGTTGGACTTCAGTGCCCATCATCCCCAGTTACGCCTGGAAATTACCAGGTTGACAACCGACTTAGGGGAGCTTGCCTGTGTCAGAAGAATAGACCTGCTTATTTATTTGGAAGGAGATTGCCTAAACACTTCCCTGCCTGAATGAAATCCTCTCCACCATCAGGAGTTGTCTATACTTGATGTCTGACTTGGCTTGATGTGCTGCTTTTCCCTCCAGGGCTATGGCATGTCTTACACCATCCACAAATGGTCTGAACTGAGCTGGGCCAGCCACTGGGTGACCTTCGGGTGCTGGGTCTTCTACCGCCTCATCAGCTGAAGCAGGACCTGCATGTGGACTTGAGGAGATGGAGCAGGGAATGGGTGGAGAGGCAGAACTGAGGGCCTCCTCACCTTCAAGAACATTGGATGCCCACCATCGCCTTGAGTGCCCTGGACGCTGACTGATTACTTTTTCTTCTGGGATGCTGATGGAGGGAAGGGGCTCCCCAGCAGTTCAGTTGTGCCCCATACTGTGGGCATGTCCTGATCCACTTTGCCCTGAGGGGGGAGGAACATGCAGTACAACATCCCATGGTTGAGAGCCAAGATAGTCTCCGGAATACCTATAAAAAAACCTCTTCTTCCTTTTCCCACATGGTCTGGACTGCAGCATTCATAATACTCTTCCATTGGCTGCCTGGGGCTTGTGGGAGGTGTTATCCAGAGGGCACCAGATTGCCAGTTCAGATCTTGTACAGTAACAATACCTCTGTCCCTGGCTCTCTGAGAAATAGCCGGCTCCTGCCAGGTCCTTTTTAGTGCTCCCTCTAGTGGCCATTTGAAGGACCTGCACCAGCTTTCCCCTCCCCTCTGAATGATTTTTATTGCCTCACTCAGTGCATGTTTTGCCTCTTTTTGCTCTCTTGTGGCTGCAGGTGGGAGCTGCACCCACTGCTCCCGCGGTACCCCTTATTCCTCCTTATGGGGTTCTGTCTTTTCTGTAAAGTCTGATGATTAGCCGACGGGAATCACGATTCTTTAAACTGCATTGAAGATCCAGTTGATTATCTTTAAAAGTAGGGCAGTTTGTGTAGATGTAGTAGCTTTTTCTGTTTTGCTTCTAAAGCCCTTGGATTTTTCAGACAATCATAGCAGAAGTGTTGTTGAGGCCATGGAGAAGAGGGCTGGAAAGACTGGGAAGGGGGCAAGCAATTCTAAATGGGCTGAACCTTCTGAAATTTTCACGATCAGAATCTATGGAATTCCTGTTCATTCCAATTCTTTTCCACTATGATATGGACCAGAAACTGGTGGCATTTTCTTAATCGGAGTGTAGCTGCTCAGGATACTTAATTCAGTGCCAAATTCTGCGCAGAAGCGTAAACTACACCAGTTGTAGCATACAATTATTTTGGATTGATTAATCTGGAATAATCCTTGCTCCATGGTTCCATGCATATATCGTGGATAAAGCTCCCACTAGGTGTTTTTAAAACAAAGAGGGCAGGGAGAGGAGAACCATTGTGCCTTCTTGCCATATGTTACCTTCCCTTCTTTGTGAATAGATCAAAAGGTTATTTGAGTGGGTTGGGGTCCCCCCATCTCTGTCATGCAGTTACAAGCTAAGGATTGCATTGTTTCCTCTTTCACTAACGCACCAATAATCCCGTGGCAGGATCTGCCCTGAAACGCATATGAGCTGTTTAGGTGATACACTTCCTGTTAGAAATACCACCCATCATTGCAGCAAAGCATTAGCCTTTCACCTGCTTTTGTCAAGAGGAGGCAAGATCAAGACTGGGAACAATAGGATCAGAACATTCAACATGGTCAGTGCCTAATAATGGAAAGTTGGAACATTGGAACAATTCTCTAACTCACTTCTCCTGGAAAGGAAAGCTAAATACAGACAAGCCTTTAATGTGGTACTATGGAATTCACTTATCCCAGTTTGCAGGCCCAGCAGAAGGAGGAGGTAGAAGGCACTGGACCATTCCAGGGGTGAGGAAAGGGGTCCTTTTTGAAAATGCCACTCTTCTTTTTTAAGCTGCGTGTACTTTTTAAAACCTGCAAATAGCAATGAGCCCAGGGGGGAATAAGCTGTACTTTTAAAGTGGTGGGGTACACGTCCAATGCAACCTGGAGCAGTGCAATTTCTTCTTCTACCTCATGGGGCATCGATAAGGCAGATCTAGCCTGCAGAACGAGCGGGTGGAGATAGGTTTCTGGTGCTGCGTGATTTCGGATGGCTTAGGAAGGCTTGATGCTGACCAGCCAGATGGAGAAGACGTGCTACAGAAGGCGCCACGTGGAGTTTTCTCCAGTTTAAAAAGTAATTATTGAGTTTTTGTATGTTTGGAGGGCCGTGTTCTGGAGGTCTTGTAGAGTCACCAGCAGAATGAGTTCAGATAGGACAGGTGAGACACTTAAGGCATCTGACTCATTACTGGGCAACAATATATGTTCTGGCATATTGAAAGTAAAGAGTTTCGTGAGAAGCTGACTATCAACTTTTCCCTAATGTGCTAGTTTATTATGTGCGTTGCCATTTTTAAAGGGGGGGGGTTAGAATGAAAACAACTGATCCACACACCACCTACAAATGGAAGTATTAGTTTTTCCTCCCTATCCGGATGTCCCCCAGAAGCATTGGACTAAAGATCTCCTCCCACAACATTAATCTCCTGGCCGAAATACAATACAACAATAGGGAAGCTTGTATTGTGGTCTGGGTTTAGACCATCTTCCTCTTTCCTTTCTCTTTACCTTACTCTTTTTCCTTGCCTTTGTAAGGGAGCAGAGTAAATTTGCAACCAGATGCAAAAAAAAAAAAAAAAGTCCAAGAGAACATTTCAGCAGATCATGCTTGTTTTGTGTGACATTAAATATCGGTTCATGTTGAGCCTCTCTCTTCCATCCAGCTGCCAGAAGCCCTGGATCCAGATTCCTTGTAGCTTTTGTTTATCTGCTAATTCTCCTTTGGTTTTGGAGGAATCAAGACTGTGGAAATATCATCTAGCTCCATTCCAAGTCTCCCCATGGACTAAAGTATGACACTGTTAAATCCCAGGATATATCTTCTGCCCCTTGCCTTGGTGAGGTAGAAGATGCCATGTACCGTATGTAGAGTATAAAAAAAGGGTGTTCTTTTTAAAATGCCTTTGATTTGTTTATGAAATAAATATTCTGTGGAAACACAAGGGCAGTTTTCTGGTGCCTTATGTGTTTATAGATTTGTATGTTTTCCTTTTGAGAAGGGTTGGTATGGAGCGTGGATATTAAAGAAGGGTGAGTGGAATAGAACAATTATATTCAGATAAATGGTGGTCAGGAAGTACAGCTTTACGGGACATAGCTTCCCCATTCCAGCAATGAATAACGAGTAATTTCTCTTCAAAAAGCATTATTTTGCACCAGGTTATGCAATGCTTATTTATTTATTTATTTATTTATTTATTTATTTATTTATTTGATCAATTTGTAAAGCCACCCATCTCAACAAGTGACTCTGGGCGGCGAACAATAGCAAGTAGAATAAAATCAATTACATCCTGAATGCAAAAATTAAATACAAAAATTAAGATACACAGCAGCCGAGAAGAACAACAATCACTGAAAGAGGTTGCTATCGGCACTCTGCCACTAGGCTTGAAGAAAATTAATACAGGATCTATATTTATTTTTCTCATAACAGATGTCAGTTATAGGCATGCCTAGAACCATTATGCTAGCATGACTGCCCAAATTGTGCTGTTGGTTATAAGCAGCCTGATTTCCTTGAAAAGCTAGGAAAGGTATGTATTTTTATAGTCAGCCTTTAAAAAAATTCCTGCTGCTTGGTTTCTGAGTACAGAGAAGAACAATCAAGTGCCAATACCTGCTGAGATGTAAAAAGCTAGAATAAGCTGAAGTTAGACATGATTATGGCAGATGCTATTTGTTTGAATCCATGCTGTTGTATAACCAGGTGTCAAATAGGCTGGACTTCTGGTTTTCAGAGCAAAAGAGGAGGTAGGGATAAAGAACGAAATCTTCCCTTTTCCTCCCTTGCTTCCATTTCACTCGTCTGTTTCCCCAGATGTTTGCCGCCTTAGCTGGGAAGGGACAGGGTGGGCCTCCTTAGCTGCATTTGAGGTCTGATGTTTCTGAGACAGGCCCAACATCCCCAAGTGAGCGCCAGGGCTGAGCAGGAACTTTAAACCAACTCTCCTCTCGATGGCCCTTTCTTCCGCAAGGAAGTTTTCCTGCATTTAGGGGTATCACAAGGCAAGCCCTATCCTAGAGGGCAACTCTAGCAGCCCCAGAAGGCCACCCCACAAACAAGCTCACTCCCCACCAGTGTAATGGAGGTAATTTCTTCTGCTATTATTAGCTGTTATGTTTCAATTTAGGGCTATTCCAACTATTCATTAGTTTATTTGCAGACAAGGAGAAGGGGGCAACAAACCCAAGGTTTAGACATCGTAAGTGTCATTTTTAAAAATTAGTCCATGAGTCAAGATTCAACTATTGTGGTTGATACTCACAAAAAGTCATTCTCTGTGCTGGAAAACACATCTTTCCCAAAGTCCTCTTGGTTGGGCTGACACCAATCTAGGATTCTGTTTGTGGAATAGGCTCTTTAGGATTGTGTATAGCTTAATCCTGTCTGGAAAAATCTGCTCTACAGATGAGACCTGTCCACCCTCTAGAGGAAAACCCCAAGCCTGAGAGCAGATCCATACTGTTGAAATATTGGGACTCTAACCATTTCTTTTATCTATCGGATGCATTCAGGAATTCGTGGCAGGTGAAGAAAGTTGGACTTGGCCCTGTTGCCAAGACACCCATCTTAGCCTGTGTCAATGATTAATGCAGTGACTAATGATGGGAAAGGAGGAAGTTATTGGCTGGGCGGGATGGTACCTGTCCCAGTGAGAAGAAAATGGCGCGTGACCCAAACTGCTCCCTTGTCAGCGATCAATTACCTTTGTCATCCGAGATCTTCCAAGGTGAGGATGGGGAATTTGTGGAAAGCTGTAGCCTGGACAAGTTGAGGTTCTGGTAATGAATGGTGAAAGATGGCCAGAAGGCAGAATAAAGACACCATCCAAAGTTCCCCACAGTTTAGCCTCATAAATACAGTTTTGCCCATCATGGCCAAGTAATAGAGTTCTGATCAATGCAAAGTCTCTTTTTGTTATGCCCAAGTAAGCCTGCTCTATTTTGGATTAGAAGGAAGGGCTTCAGGACAATATGATTTACAACAGGAATTAGAAACAGAGATTCGAAATTGCCCTCGTTATCTCTCTGAACTACATCTGCCTGTCTCCCACAGTTATCAATGCTCAGATCTGGATTTTCTTAATCCCAGTGTTCCTGGGTCTTGTGCAAGTTGGCCTCTTTCTGGAACAAACAGGCTTCTTCTTGCGTCATGGCAAGAGTTCCCATCGCAACAGCGTCTTACTTTGGATCTTGGGAGTTTATCCGGTAAGAATGAGGAGAAGAAATCCTGTGATTTTAATCTCTTAGGTTTAACTTCCCCCACTAAGCATGCAGCCTTGAACGTAAGGCTTACAAAACCCACTGAACTCCATAAAAGTATGATTAGAATTAGGCCGTTAAGTTGAGATGTTCAATATATTCAGGGCCATCAAGCCTCACCCAGCTGGCTAAGATCAAAAAGCAAGAATGACACAGACTTTCATAAGATGTTTTTAAAGCTAGAATTAGGAATAAACCCAGAATCTTGGAAACTACAAGAGGAATTTCCAATCCTCTTGACTTCATTAAGGTGGAGATTCTTAGGACCTTTTGAACAATTTCTTTCTATGTTTCTTGCCACCTGGACTTAGTCCCCATTTATGGGATAAGCTACCAATAGACTCCACTTCTATCTCATGACTATTTGTGTCTAACAATCCTTCTATTACTTTCCCAATCTCACCACAATCTTTCATGAGAGCCAATCCAAGAATTGTTGGTACCTACATTTGAAAATCCGGAGGGCACCACAGTGTCACCCACCCCACGCCAGCAGCGTGTTTCTGGTTCATATTCAAAGCACTCACCATACAGGTCCCTTTGTTCTGGTAACAAAGTGCCTTATTATAGCTGTTTCCACAATGTGTTGCAGTAAAATGTCACATAACATCTTGAAGGCAGCTTTAGTATGGCATCTAATTTTCACACACTAGAATTCATTTAATTAGAGACAAAGTGAGATCCTAATTTTATATACGGATATATGAGAAATGCTGAGGTTCAATGGCAATGAAGAGGTTGGTATTTTTCTTTTTTTTCTTACTGTGACCATTCAGTTCAAGCTTAAATGGAGGCAAAGTAAGCACTATGATCATTAACAGAACAGCAGTGGCTTCTAATACAACTGGGACACATCACAATGCTGTGAAATTCACCATAGATCTTTTCCTATAAATCAGTGTTTCTCAACCTTGGCAACTTTAAGATGTGTGGACTTCAACTCCCAGAATTCCCCAACCAACATGAAGTCCACACATCTTAAAGTTGCTTAATTTGAAAAACACTGCTCTAAATAAACTTGACTTGCCACATACTGTACTTTCACATTTTATTGTATTTTTTCCTCTAGATCTCTACTCTTAAAGTATGTATACAGAGTGAAAGTTAACACTTTAAGCCCTGATTAAATCTACTGTGTCTGCTAAGTCATTCTGGCTCTTTCCAGAGATGTGGGAACTCCAATAACTACATGCTGGTTGTGACTTATAGGAATTGAAATCCAACCTATGTGGAGGGCATCAAGTTGGGGAAAATTTACCCTTTTAAATTAGTGCTATTAAAATCCCCAAAGCTACTTGTAATTTTCCATCATCTTTAACCCATTTCACTATCCACAATCATCAGTGTAGAGAGAGCATAATGCATAAACAAAAAAATGATTGCTAAATAAAAGCAGTTAAACCAATTATAATCTATCATACTGTTTAGCTGAGCTTTTTCTAACCTGCTGCTGTTTAGATATGTTAGGACAACAGCTCCCAGCATTCCAAGTTAGCTTGGCTCCCAAAATAGGACTCCTGAGAGTTCTAAACTCAGCACATCTGGAGATTAAAAGTCAGGAAAGGTTGGTTTAGTAAATCTGTGACAGCAGCTGTCACAAGCAAGCTCCTTTTTGGTAGGGTTGCACCAGAGCATAACTCAAGATCACTCCACATAATTTAATCAAGAAGAATTACTGCTATGTCATACGCACTTCCTTACATACAGGCCACGATCCAGCTCTTCTTGCGAAAGATCATTCATCAACAGCCACTTCTTTACAAACTTACGCCAGTTGCTGCCGGAAGATAGGATAATGGCCTTTGCTTATAGTGACAAAGTCGTCATGGCAGACTTTTCTTTCAGTGCTAAATGTAACAGTCCTCGACTTGGGGCAATATATCTCTGAATACCAGTTGCTCAAGCTGGAGGGTGAAAATATCACATTGTGGCATAACAGAATGTGTGAATTCAGCCTAGATGCTCATCTCTTTTGCTAGGTAGAGTGGCAATCGTAAAAGAAGAGTGGAATCTAATATTTAGGAGTAATCTTGGGAGTGGGAGATTAGGTTGTCTTGCTGGCTGGAGACAAGTTACAGTTTCAGCAAGGTACAAATCTGTCCTTATCTATCTTCTCTTCCAACAGGCATTCAGCCTCACCTCCCTCATCAGCTTGTTCATCCCTCGAGCTTCCTTTGTCTGCAACTTTGTGGCCTCCATGTGAGTTTCTCTGCAGGGGACAATGAAGGGGGAGGGGGAGAAATGATGCAACAAACTTGAGCTATGCCACAACTTCTGCTCCAACTCCTCAAAGGAGATGCTGTATTAACAGCTTTCACCCTTGAAAACAGATGCAAAGAACGCTGACGTTCTAACTGCAGGCATTGAATTGTGCTGTGTTGCTTCTGGGCTAGACCTTGTGATGGTGTGCTCCAAATTTCACTCTCGATCCTTTACAATAAGAGCAGGGAACTGAATCCAAACAAAGCCTTAGATTCCCACTCATTTCCCCTGCACCCTTTGTACACTGGAAAATGTGGATGGAAAGACCTCTTCCTCTCCCTGAAGCCCCATCCATTGTCCAGCACATAGAAGCTGCCATCTCCATAAGAAAGACTCTGACTCTGAGAGTCAAACTAGCTTCCATGAGTCCCATGCCTCCTCCTTCAATGCAGGCAACTGAAGCACAACCAACATTTGTCAATGCTCTTAGGCCACCCTCCCTTATCTTGGGCACCCTCTAGAAGTGTGGTTCAACTCTTAGAATTCCCTAGCCAGAAACTATTGGTGAGAATTCTGGAAGGTACTCAGTTTTTCAAAGGCTGACCTCTGTGCAATGCTTGCAATCATTGTCTCTCAGTGGCTCCACTCATCCTTTGCCTTTCTTTGAGGCGTGGGGTGGAAGCAGCAGATTTCTGCAAGAGGAAACTTACTTGGTATGAGTCCCCTGGCCAACCTGGCAGGTCAGATTAGGCTTGGAAACCAATGGTTCTCCAACCCTAGTCAAGAGTACCCTTTCCCAACCTTAGCCCTTCCTAATGTGTTGGACTACAGCTCCTATCACCCTTAACTATATTACTCCTGATAGTTATTGCTCATCAGATCTGGAGAGTGCCATGTTGAGAAGGGCTGCCCTTGTCTATTGGCCTTCAACTGGAGGGTTGTGACTCACCATGATATTGCTTATCTGGGCTAAGCCTTGTGTGTGTTTCTATCCCACAACAGAACACCTCCAACTGCGTGCTTGCGTTAAAGGTGGTTCTGCCTCTGAGAAGGCTGAAAACCACTGCTCTCAAGAACAGAAAGAAAAGCTAGCTGCTTTATGAGAAGGGCAACTGTTTGTCCACAATTTTGGACAAATTTTGTATCTTTTAACTGACAGGGGCTCTTCGGGGTCTCCAAAAAGACAGACAGCTGATTTACTGACATTACAGCTGCAGCAACTGATTCTCTGCAAGTCCCTATTTGAAACTCAGTAATTGTCAAATCTTTTGAGTGCAAAAGCCAGGGTCTCCAGAGGGACTCTGCATCTACTGGGAAGTCTCTGATCCCTGAGTCTTGGGATAAGAGGCTTTCAAGGAACCTGCAAAGGCTACCTTTCCAAGTGAAGAAGGGATATGGGGTTTAATTTTCTATCCCTAGCAACCTCAGCTGTGTTAAGGTCACTCAGGGTGGGAAAGGTGGCTATCCATGCATTAATATCTCTGCAGTCATCCAACTTGTGTGCATGTAAATATGAACCCTGCTTACATGTAGCCCATTGCGGCCAAAACAGGTTGTTTACTGCTGATTTTGCTGAAGAAGCTTGAGACGTTCTGCATGGAAAGCATCTGCTCTCTAACTGAACAACAATCCTTTTGATTTTTATTTAACATACATAACAATAAAGTTTATGGCTGGAAGTGGCCATTTAGATGATAGAGTCCAATCCCTTCTCCATATTAATGTCTTTCTTACTTTATCTGAAAAAAGGTGCATGTGGATCAATATTCACTTGAAATTAGTAATTGGGTCTCAAATGGACCCACCACCAGTCAGTCATCCCAGTATTTTAGTCTTCATTGGAAACTGTGTATTATAGGGTGGGGTCTCTCTTAGCCTTGAAAATAGGCACAGCAGCAGAAGTTGTAGAGTTCCATTCCAACCCTCAGCCTGCCATGTCAACCTTCGTGACAAATACTGCTTGTCAATGGTATCATATTTTCTGCTTTCAAAACGGGCAGCAGTGTATTGAAGTAAGTGTTGGAAATAAGCAGTCCACATTTCCGGCTGGTATCCCTGGGAAGCCAAACAGGCCACTCAGATCAGCTTTTCTCCCCCTCCTATCTAGTGTAGTTTTTATGTAATCTCCGCTTCCTGTTGCTGTAGCTACCACTCCATCACCCTCTGGAAGTTCCTCGCGTTGATCCGAGACTTCTTTGGTGGCTCAGAACGCATGGTCCAGCAACTGGCCGGGCAGCGGGTTTCTCCAAATCCTTTTCCGTGCTGCTGCTGTTGCTGCCTTCCTGAGATTGCTGTCAACCGGTAAGCGCCAACTTTAACCTTCTTTAGTTTTTCTGCTCTTTATAGCGTAGCAAACCCTCTTTGACCTTCTTCTCACTGTCTCCCTCACCCTCCCTGGCAGAGCAAGCTTACGATGTATGACTGTGGCAGTGTACCAGCTCTCTCTCATCCGCAGCATCCTCTTCTTCATCACCCTTATTCTCTGGACTGACGATGAATATGACTACGGCGATGTGAGTAATTGGGCCCTGAAATTCATAGTCAGTGAACAAAATATATATTCCCGTTAAGTACAGAATGATCAAGCGGCATTTCCATGGATAGTTTTCTTGGAAATCATTTCTTCATCTTAGATGTTTGGCTGACGATAGGCATTTCCATTGGACTGAGGTGACTGGAAAGGATGTGGTATTATGGTGGTACCTCGGGTTACGAACGCCTCTGTTAACGAACTTTTCGGGTTATGACCAGCTCCAGCCGCAAAAATTTACCTCGGTTTGCAAACTCCGCCTCAGGTTACAAACCGGATCCGCGGCCATTTTCCCTCCCGTGACATGGTCCGCGGCCATTTTTCCGCCCCTGACACATGGTCCACGGCCATTTTCCGCCCCTGACACGTGGTCTGCGGCCATTTTTCCACCCCTGACATGTGGTCCACGGCCATTTTCCACCCAACACGTGATCTGCGGCCATTTTTCCGCCCCTGACACGTGGTCCACGGCCATTTTCCACCCCTGACACGTGGTCTGCGGCCATTTTTCCACCCCTGACATGTGGTCCACGGCCATTTTCCACCCAACACGTGATCCGCGGCCATTTTTCCGCCCCTGACACGTGGTCCACGGCCATTTTCCACCCCTGACACGTGGTCTGCGGCCATTTTTCGCCCCGTCACTTGTGG